CTGTTCTCATCTCCCCTCTCTTCCCTTCATTCTCTTTTGTCTAATCCACTGAACTTCTATCCCCCCCGACCCCTTTGTGTTAGCATCCACATATCAGAGAGATCATTCCACCTTTAGTTTTCTGGGATTGACTTATTTCACTTAGCATGATAGTCTCCAGATCCATCCATTTACTGGCAAGGGAGAAGAAGAAAAGTTTAAAGAGCTTATCCAAATATTAAAATCAAGAACATAAGCATCCTTCAATGATAGAAGTTCTCATTCACTCCTTTTGATCTAATTTTCTGCCAGTCTCTGAAAATTGTTTAGTCTATCATGGAAAGAAAGCACTTGGTCATGGGCTTAGGCTCATAAACAAATCAGGGGACAGGGGTGCAGCTCAGTGGTAGGTTGCTTGTCCAGCGTCTAGGAGGCCCTGAGTTCCATCCCCAGCACCTAAGGGAGAAAAGGAAGTTTGAATCAACAGGGAAATCAAGTAGCTGTTATGAAAGTGAAGTCATTTTTTCTTCACCTTTCTTGTGCTTTTTTTGTGATTTTCATGAGCACCTGAGAGTCATCTTAAGTTTCTCTCACCTTTCACCTGTATTCACTGAGCTTTAATGACTCTAATGCCTGAATTTCTTGAATCCATTCTCTGGATCATATCGCTCTCTGCTTAATCCCTCCAGTATCTCTTCAGCACCTGCAGAATAAATTCACGTGCTTTGCTGTTATATACTAAAGCTCTTTCCCCACTTTCATACACTCTCGGTACACTGACTCTGTGTCTCAGACCCTGTCCCCCTGCCAAATTCAGCTGCTTGTGGCTCTGAAATCTGCCATGGTCTCTCCTGTTTCTCTTCTTTCAACCTTGAATTTTTCTCTACTGAGGCTCAGTCTTGAAAGTCTGGCAGTGATTTCTCCCTGTTTCTCTTGCTTGACTCCCACATGTCTTCCACCCCTCCCACTGTCAGATTTGGAACTCCTTTTTCTGAGTCTCTAAGCTCCTTAAGATAATCACATGACGGCAAACACCAGCTTTTGGCCTGTTTCTTTCTACCTGTCCTCTGTGCTCTATTCTGAGAGCACTTTTAGGGTAGAAACTGAGGGTTTACCTTTCCATCTCGGCATCTCTAGTGTGTTTGGAACAAAAGCAGAAGCTCAGGAAACGCTGGTTGAGTGACTAAAGAGGGCGAGAAATGCTTGTGGCTTGGAAGAGGGAGGATGAGGGCTGGAAGCTGCGTGCAGATTCTGTGAGAATATTTTGAGGTTCTTCAGTTTTCTTCCCTTCTCAGTTCCTAGAGGCAGTGGCTTTCCATATTCATGATATTTCTTGTGGCAGAGTCCACAGTATTTCCTGAAGTCTCCTGATGTGCCTGGCCCTGCAGAGTATTCTTAAGGGATTACCAGGACAGACATGGCTTCCTCAAAAATGTATGACGGAAATGGG